ATTGTTTTTCAAATTATTGTGTTTTGATTGAATTATGTTGTTGTTATGAAAACTATACATATTGTTTTTCAAAATCTTATTTTTCAAATAGTTTCAAAAACTTTGCCCATTAGAATTGAATTAGAGAACCTTGAAATATTGAGGACTCAATTGAGTTTTGGGATTAATTGAATTGCATACATGTTTTTTCTAAATTGCAGGTTATCCATCCTATTCTGATTTCCTAAACCATGTCCAATCCTAAACGTGCTAGGTCATCATCTAGTCGCTCACACCGTCAACCAAATCCACCTCCAAATCCTCATCTATTCCTGAAAATCCAATTCCTAATCCTAATCCCATTGATCCTAATTTGACTATCCAAAACTCGTGCTTCAATCATCCTGGTCCTAGAAATCATCGTTTTTGGTATTATCAATATTTTGACTCTTACAAAATTAGAGAATAACGTATCCCTTCTCGTCAAGCTATGTTAGATATTAATTTTAAATATCTTCCTCTTTTACAGGAGTGGAAATTTGATAAACTTTTTGATCTTGAACCCATTGTCTACCATTAACTTGTTCGTATTTTCTATTCTAATGTCGTTTGTGTTAAAAACCGAACTGAAACCGAAACCATAGGAATTCGTTCCTACCTCCTAGGACAATTCTTATATATTGACTCGGCTTACATAGCCAATGCATTCGGATTAGATAATGATGGTATTTCAAATGAGAAACAAATCTTAGGATCTTGTTATAAAAGAAGGGATAGTGCAAGTGTCTTAGACATTCATGAACGTTTTCTTCATCTAATGATTTCTTGGTGGTTTCGACCATCCGGAGGTCGTTATTCTACTCTTAGAGCCTTGGATCTTTGGTGGTTACATTTTTTTGAAAACGGTATTAAAATAAACCTACCTCAGATCATTTTTGCTGAAATTGTTGAAACCGTAAACCTTGTACCTAACAAGAAACTCTGTTCATCTGTTACGGTTGCATTTTGAGTAACCTATTTTCTAAAGTCGGGCTTAGAGTTGGTCTAGATGCCTCATTTCCTCTAAAGAAACAAATTAATCTTCTTTCCTTAACGAGAGCGGGATGGATAAAGAATAAGGAAACCGGTGAATGGATTCGATCGTCTGAACATACTCCGGGAGCTAGTTCTTCACGAGCAACCAGAAGCTGACGATGATCCCGAGCTTCAACAATGCGAGACATCGATGAAGCCGAAGATGAACCTGAGCAGCCCAAGGAGCAGCCCGAGGAGCAAGCACAACAAACGCATCAAATGCCTCCATATTTTCAATCCTTTATGGAGACATTCGATTTTCGATATGCTACCATGATTGCGCTTTACTTCTATAGAGTCTCATTTATCCACAATGGGAGCTCAACAATTAGAAATTCTTCGGGAGATGCGTACAAACAACGAAGCAACCAACGCGCGTATTAATGAACTCACTCACGAAATGGCCGCTATGTGAGCTCGTTTTCCTCCTCTCGATCCAGATGTTTGATTCTATGCTTAGTTTTAAAACTTTAAATTAAAAGATTATTGCTTGAACATTTTGGAATGTTTGATTTTGAGGATTGTTAGACTTTGGATTTGTTTGGACGTTTGAGCTTATATATTTGGCTTAGTTAAATTTATTGCATCATTTACATCATTTTAGCAATAGACCAATTTTGCCATGTCACATTAATTATGAATATTGATTACGAAACTAATGGCTAACATTTCTCTTGATTGTGATCTTAGCAGCTTAAACTATATTCAATTGGCTAAATGATTTCAAAACCTTGTTTAAATTCTTTACAAATGTCTTTTTGATTTAACAAAAGGGGGAGAAGTGTTAAATGTTTTAAAAGAGGAGTAAGTGTTAAAGTAAGGGGGAGTAATTTTCAAAATGTCGTTTTTATTTCAAAATCTTAAAATTACTAAAATGTTTTGTTATATCAAAAAGGGGGAGATGTTGAAAACATTTTGATATTTCGATATAACAAATTAAGTTAAATGAATTTTAAAATTGTGCAATAAAGGTTTTCTAAGTATATTCGATATAATTATTCGAATATCAAAACATTACTCTAAATCTTTCAAATATCATTTTTAATCCTTACTCAAGTGTAAAATTAAGTTTTAATCTTAAAACAATTTCAAAATAATTTTACAAAGTATTTCGAACCATTTCAAAGCCAAAAATTCCAGATTGCTCAGAGGGAACCGATTCCCCCCCAAGGGGGTACCGATTCCCCCCTTAATGGTTTGGCTCCGAGAATTCCAGTATGCTCGGAGGGAACCGATTCCCCCTTAAGGGGTACCGATTCCCCCCTGTGTTCAATATTCATTTTGGGAGAGAGTGTTCTCAAGAATTTGGGGTATATTCTTGAGGTTTGTAAGGTTACTCTTTGTCCTCAAAAGAAAGACAAATTAGTGAATTTGTGGAAAATCCTTAGTGTGGATAGCTAAGGTAGTGGACAGAGACTTTGGTTGAGAAAGTCGAACCACTCTAAATCGCTGTGCAATTTCTTTCAATTTTCTGCAAAAGCTTCCACCAAAATTTTTATTGCCAATTCACCCCCTCTCTTGGCCAATTCTGTCAATCGATTAACTCAACAATAAATTTATCAAACAAATTATTAACACTACCTAAACATAAAATTAATCATATTGATAAATTATATAACAAAATCATGCTACAACTAGGTTAATATGATCATTACCTGTCTAAAATAATCATACCATCTTTATCATATTTTACTCTAAAATATATATATAAATGACTAAAAGGAAATAAAATAAAATATAGATGCCAAACTAAAATAAACAAAAATATGCTTTTAATGATTAAATTATAAAAATATTAAAGTAATAGACATAACTTGAATATTATATATAGGTATATATATATAATTTAGCTTTAATTATTAACTGGTAATTAAAATATAAATATTAAAATTAAAAGGACTAAATCGGTATTATTAAATTCTCATTTCTCATTTCTCATTCTCTCTCTATTTGAGAGAGATGAGAACTCTCTTTGTTCCCTCTCTAAATTCCTTCACCGAGTGGAAATCGGTCGCCACAATCGCCCGCCATACGCCGCCATCGCCCACTGCCGCCGGCCACCGTCTCCGGTGGTCGGAAATTACAAATTAACCCAAACGGTTCGCTTTTAAACCTTTAACTTGAATCTAGCATTCTTTTTTTTCTAAAACCCTCTATTTTACCCTAGATCTAAATAAACCGAAGTGATTACCTTCGGTTAAATCTGGATCTCCGGCGGCTTTTGAAGATTCTAAAGCTGGTGGTAAGGCTCTCGACTTCTTCTCCTTTTGTTCTTCGTTTTGATGTTGTCTGGGATCGTTGGTTTAGATGCTTTTCTATCTCTCTTTTTTTTGTTATCTTCTCTCTTTCTTGCTCTGTGTCTCCTCTCTTTTTTTTTCCTTTTTTTCTCTACAGCAATGGCCATTTATAGGCCTCATTGGTGTCTTCTTCGGACCAGTTAAAGGAATAGCCCTCGGTGAGTCACCGAACTATGGTGGTGACTCACCATAGGGTAGCAACGTGGACAAGGCAGCTGGCTTCTGGAGGCTTCAGCGTGGCAGCAGGGCGTTGGATCACCTGGCAGTGCTGGAAGCTGCTGCAACTGATGCTTGGAGGGGCTGCTTGCTGGAAGCTGCTGGAAATGATACGTGGAGGGGCTGCTGGATGGAGGGGGCTGCTCGGGTAAAACTTTAGTGTCTACATGAACAATACATAAAATGCAATTAAAAATACTCTAAATTTGAATTGAAGTTCTTAGAAGGATAATTTGTTAAAGAAAATGAAAGTAATTAAGTCATGGATGAAGTATGATAATTTATCCCTGAATGATTTAGTAGAATGTCAAAAGTATATGGGGATTTCTTGGAAATTAGTACAAATATGTATATATTGATAACTTTAGTATTATTAGAACTCATGAAGAGCATCAAATTAAAACTCCTAAAGAGCTTCAAAAACCACTTATTATTTAATGAGAATATTTGAAATAAAGAATCTCATAATCAAAAATTTTCTCAACCTATAAATTGATCACTTCAATTTTATCTACAAATTGGCACATACTAAAAAGATATTAAAAATATTTAATATGCATAAATCATATTTATTGAGATCTCGATGATTGTAAAATTTTTAAATGTAAATAAATATTTTTTTTGTCTTTGAAAGAATGGTAATGAAATATTTGATCTGGAAGTATCATATCATATTTGACCCAAAAGTATTATCTGAGTGCTATAAGATCATTATCTATACACCTTTAAACATTAGCTGAAGTCTTTTAAAATCATATAGAAATAATTGTTATACTTATGCATGAGACAGTTTAGAATATGTTTGATTAAAACAATCGACCCAATATATCCTTAAAATTTGTGATTTACTTTCACATGATAAATACCAACTATTTTGTACGAAGATAATATAGAATATATAATCCGATTGAAAGAAAAATACATCAAAGGATACATAACAAAACATATATTCCTAAATTTTCCTCCCTTGTGATCTTCAAAAGAATAATAATATAAATATTACTAGCAAAATCGTTAAAGTGTTAATTTGTAAGATCTATTCACCGATGCATTGTCTACTTCAACATATTTTTTCTCAATGAATTTTCTATATAAATTTTTTAATGAGGTGACATATTGTGCATATTAAATATATGTTTACTCTTTTTCCTTCGCTAATATTTTTCACATAATTTTTATCATATTAATGTTGTAACAAGGCACACTATCTTAAATGGACACCCAAGGGAGATTATTATGAATATTTTTTATTTGTGGCAGTAAATTATGATTAGAATTCTATTAAATATGACTTTGATCTACTTTATTATTAAGAGTTTTATGTCTATTAAAATTAGAGTTTTATATAATATCTATCCATTATCACTATAAATATAATGTACTTGCTATACAATTTATACTATATCGATTCAAGTAAAAATCAAAAGAAGCAAATGGGAAGGAATCTTTGCCATAAAATTTATACTTTGAATTTGTGAGGGCACTAGTTTTTTTGCCCATGTATGTAATTGCTATTGCTACATAATTTTATGAATCAACAATTATATGTACAAAAGTATGGATAACCTGCAAAAACTGAAACTCTAGAATCAAGCTGGATAAGAAGAGATGAGGTTGCTTGGTATACAGGGAGAGTTCTTCCACACTCTTGCATGCAATTTGAGCACCTCTCTAGCCCTCTCTTTAGTCTTGAATCCGCAATCCACTTGAAGCACCAAGCACAATTTGGCCACAACCCCTAACTGAAGCATCTCTTGAAGAACCTTAGTGGTGGCACAGAACTTGGAAATGGACAGCAAAATCCTCACTGCTTTTTCACTTGCAACCTGAGAAACCCTAAGTATCTTCTTCGAAACAATGGCGAGTCCCGCTCCATGCAGTAGCAGCTTGGACCGGCCTTCGGCGCATTTACATACTGCATCCAGCACTGTTAGTACCATCTCACAAGCCCTTCTCTCCAAGGATGAATCGAGAAGCAGATCGATTAGAACAGGTACCACGCCGGCTTCGGCGGCCTTGACCTTGTTTCTTCCCCATGGAGAAATAGTTGCCAGCAATTGTAGAGAAGCTTTTGAGGCCTGCTTTGATATTTGATCACGCAAAACTTGGATTGATTCGACAAAGAGTTCGGGTCTCAAGTTGATGAGCTGCATCGGATCAGCTACCTCAACCATCGATTTCAATAAGAGAACTGCATAAGCCCGAGACTCGTAGCTTCCACGTTGCATTACTCTCGTTAATGAAAGTATGAAATCACTGTTTTTACAGATAAGATTCTTGAGAGAATCTTCTGAGAGTTGGAGATTGTAGAGGATGCTTAAAGCCTCAGCTGCTGATGCTGAAGAGTTTGAATTATTGGCAATGGAAACCAAGAACTCAACAGCGCCTGAAGATTCCATGCACCTTTTGTTTGTACCATTTTCGGAAGCGATCGATTGTAGACTCTTGAGACACTTGATCTGTTGCTGCGGTGACTTAGCATCGTTAAGAAGCTTGATAATCTGAGCTTTGCTGATCGGCGGCTTCGGCGTCGGGATCCGTTCGATTCCATGGGAAGCGTTCAACATGCACCAAGATTGAATCAATCGCCTGAGGGTATGATTTGGGGTAAGTTCACAATCCGAAATAACTTGCTTTGTAACCGGACATGTCGTGTTCTTCCCTGAAAACAACCATTTCTCGATGCTCTCCCTGTCATATGTAATCCCGGATGAAACTGTGACGGGATCCTTCATAATCTCAAGAGAGATCGGGCAGATGAAAAACGAAGGAACATCAATATCATCCATTACAGAAACTTGAAGAAAGAAAGATTAATTGCAGAAACCAAAAACAACTTGGTTTGATAAAAGGATGAGAATTGGATGGAAAGTAGTTGTGAATTTGTTTGAAGGCTGAAGAAGAGGGGGTTTATATATGCTTGTGGATATTCAAAAGCTAAGAAAGTCAAAACACACGGAAATGGCTGACAAATTATAACCGCGCATACAGCTACAGATACTAACGACTAATATTTGGCTGGTCCTGAATTGGCGAAGAATCTTTGTTATAATTTCTGGACATGGTTTTTATTTGCAATTAGTCAATCTATATTTTGTAATGAAAATTTCATCCATTGCCGACAAATTCAAATGGAGGATGATGACGTTTTGGCTGCCTGCGTCACCCACGCTCTCTAGTAAAATTTCATTGTTTTGAAAATCGGACCGGACCGGTCAGTTCAACCGGTTCAACCGGGAATCGTTGTCTAATCCGATTTAATCTAGATCAGTTGAATTGCTACTAGTGAATCGGCCAGAACCGTTGAACCGTTCAAACCGGACCGGCTGAAAACCGGAAAAAAACAGAAAAAACCGCCATTTTTTTTTAAATTAAACCAAACGACGTCGTTTGGTAAACGAGCCAAGTCGAACTTGAGTATTGCTGAGCTCGACTCGAACTTGAAAATTTTAAAAGTAAGCTCAACTCGATTCAAACTCACGAGCTAAAAATTATGAAGTTTAACTCGAACTAGAAATATAATATTAAAACTTGAACTCGAAAAGGCTTGAACTCAAAAAAAATTTAGAAGCTCGATTGAAGCCTAAAATTCGAGCTTGATTGAAGTGAAAGAATAGTTGATTGAATGCTTACTAAAAGGCTCCATGATTTTGAATGCCAAATTACCTCTATTATTTATAGAAGTTAGTTGAGATTATTTTCTATGTTTCTTAGCCATGTGAGATTGTTTTAAAAAAAATAAACCAAACAATATTATTTTGTTATGATCTTTTTAGCCCCAAATTTATTTTTTAATTATAGTTATATAATTATATTTATTATTTAATATGTTTTACCTTAAATATTATGTTATAGTTAATTTGAATTATTTTGTTTCACTTGATTTTATGGTTTTTAACTTATATATGTTATGACTTGCTTTGAATATGAATTGTGATATAAAAAATTATTTTTTATTAATATTTTTGGTATTTTTATTTAATTTTTTAAATAATTATGACGTCGTTCAATTCTTCCGATCGGTCGAATCGATTCGACCGATTGATCCAGTGAACCGATAGCATAACCGATTCACTAACCGATTCGGTTCTAAAAACCATAAATTTCATCCATTGCCGACAAATTAAAATGGAGGATGATGACAATTTTGGCTGCCTGCGTCACACGCGCTGTATGGCTTTAACTTTTCCCTTTGGTTGTTCCCACCACTTTTGACCCATCATTGTTTTCAAAATGAAATTTACTTCGATGATACAACTCTTGGGATCTAATCTCTCAATTTTAATTTCTTATAATTTAGGGTAAATTGTGTATATAGTTACTCACTTATTCTCGTGGTTCTGTTTGGTCACCTATCTATTTATTTTTACAAAATCATACATAACTTTACATTTCTGTTTTGTTTTAGTCATCTATCGTTAAAAAATTAACGGTAATGCAGATGTGTCATCATAAGATCATCATTGAAAAAATAAAAATAAAAAAACATTACCACGTTAGTAGTTATGTTTATATTTTAACGACTGATGACGAAAATGGAAAAAAATATAACGTTAAGTATGATTTTGAGAAAAAAATAATTGAATAACTAGAACAACAATGTAAGAATAGGTGAGTGACTAAATATGTAGTTTATCTTATAATTTGTTGATTCAACTTGTATAATTTTATTCATATATCTAACCTGATAACATCATTAGTTATTATAAAAATTGATTGAAACAGGTTTTTTATTTCTTATTATTACTTGATTATCCAATAAAAATCATATAAAAATTTAGAAAACTATATTTAATCAATATATATTATTACACGTCAGTTGAAAATTTAAAAAGATTCATATTATCATTTTAAAAAAGTTAATGGCGTTACCATTTTAAAATAGTAGAAGAATTAAAACAAGAGAAAATAACCTCAGTGACCAAAAATCTCATATAATATACGATTTTAAGCAACTTTTTCCGGATTTGCCAAAATGACCAACAAAATCGCAATGCGATCGCTAATTCGCAACGCGATCTCCATTATCGCAAATTCGCGTTGCATTTTCGCAATGCGATAGTTGAAAATCGCGTTGCGATGGTCTACAGTGTCGTTGCGATTTTCCCAATTCGCAATGTGAATAAGTAAATCGCAACGCGAATTGGGAAAATCGCAATGCGAATAAGTAAATCGCAATGCGAATTGGGAAAATCGCAATGCGATACTGACTATCGCAATGCGATAATACAAAATCGCAACGAGATACTTACTTTCGTAACGCGATACTGACTTTCGCAACGCGATTTTCAAAGCGCCATTAGTATCCTGGCCAAGTATTTTATTTTTAAATTCCAAACACGAATATTAATATATTGGAACACTGAACCGTCCACAGTATATCCCGTAATCGTAACTCATAACCTAAAACCTAAAATCACAACTCAGTCCCATCTCCATCTCTCACTCTCTCACCCATCTCCGACGAAATCCGTCCCCATCTCCGGTGAAATCCGTCTATCTCCATCTCTCAGAGCCACCCTCACAATCAGAAATGGAAAATCAACCAAATCAACCAACGAGGGTTAGTTTTTTTAATTATTTTCTTTTGAAATTTTTGCATTATTATTAGGTTTTTCATATTGAAATTGATGATAAGTTTACTGGTAATTTCAATAATAGATTAACCATTTCACTTAGATTGCTTATTAAATCAACAGAGAATCGCAACGCGAAATGCAAATCGCAATGCGATTTTAGTTTCGCGTTGCGATTATCTCGTTGCGATAGTCAAATTCGCGTTGTGATAGTCATTTTCGTGTTGCGATTTTCATTTTCAGAAACTATTCTTCTTCTGCAAATTGAAACTTGAATGAATTGCATTACTTCAACCAAAAAACAAAGACAAATACGAAATTCACAGTGTTGCAAATTTAAGTTTGAAGAATAAACTACTACTTTATGTTTATTATGTTTTTGGTATATCTTCACAGTGTAGTTTTTGGTATATCTAATTTAGTATGTTATTGTTTTTGTAGAACTTTTATTCGGCTCAATTGACCTTGAGAAATAAAGTCAGCCTGGCCAAACAATTGCGTCGAAGCTTTCACCTGCACAAGAAAAATGTTGAGGATACATGCTTCGGGCCATGGCTGAAAGTATAACATCCCGGTGGAGATGCGATGTTGACACACCTGTTTCTTCAAACCATGACTAGCGATCTACCAGAGACTATACACGTCGTGATGAAGAGATATGGTTGATTTTCCACCGGCGTATACGTGTTTGGGCGGGAGGAGTTTTGCTTAATCACCGGTCTACGCTTCGGACACGATGATGTAGGTCGGTACACTAGACACATTACCCGCTCATCATGGCTATCCCGGGTTTTTCCTGAGCTGGAGAGGTCGAGTCTACACGTAGAAGACCTGACAAGATTGTTGAATAATAAAGATGGTTTTACTCGGATGGATGACGTCGACGTTGTCCGAGTATGCCTTCTAATTCTTTTGCATGCCGGCTTTTTAGGCAGAGAGGCCAGACAACCTATTCCAAATGATCTAATCAAATTGGTAGAAGACCTAAATGCGTGGAACCTGTTTCCGTGGGGCTCATATTTATGGAAAGCTACATGGAATAAGTTATCGCTGCCTTGGATGATCGAAAAAGTTTGCATGGCGATGGTTCCAAATACACTTTGACAGGCTTTATTTGGGCCTTTAAGGTAAGAATTTTTATATGATGTTTCCAAAATTATAAGTAATTATTTAACAATTACTAATGTTTGTTATTATATTGTTTGTAGATTGGATATTTGAGGCCTTTCCCGCCATGAAGACATATGCAATAAAAACTTCAAATGATATTCCCAGGGCTATTTCCTGGAAGAGGAAACGACCTTGCAATGGGAAGATTACTACGGTATACGACAATAAATAATGTAAGTTAACATAAATACTACCATATGTTTATAAAAAAGTTATTACTAGTACACGTTTAACTTTGTTTGAGCTTTTATATTGTTAGGAGGCCAACACTCCTCTACAGAGGCTGACACCCACGGAAGCTGAGCTTGCCACTGATTGGTGGCAAGCTAGTAAGCGTTTTTTTGATGGAACGGTTGATGAGCAGCCTCCACTTCGAGAGCCATCACCTCGCCCAGAGCTATCACCTCACCCAGAGCCATCATCTGATCGACCCGGCTATACACCTCCACAACGACAGCCATCACCTATTCTGTCACATCATCGAGCCTCTTCTCCACCATCACCGCAAGATAGGGGACCGGCAAAGATGCCACGACGTTTATCTCCCTGTTCTCCACCTCCACCTCAACGGGATGAGTTAGGGGAGTTATGTGATGAGGTCAATGCCTTGCGTGAGGAGGTCGGTACTTTACGCAAAGACGATGGTGCATGGCGTGTTGAGGTGTCTACATTACGCGGTAAGGTAGCCGCTCTACGTGAGATGGTAGCATCGTTGCAGAATGAGGTTATACTCTACGCAACGAGGTAAGTTTAAGATTTTTCATACTCGTAATTCATTCGGTTTGCTGCCAATACTGCTAAACTGTTTTTGTTAGTATTATTTTTGGTTTTGTTTTTGTCTTTTGGTTGAAGTAATGCAATCCATTCAAGTTTCAATTTGCAGAAGAAGAATAGTTTACTTTCGCAACACGAAAATGACTATCGCAACGCGGAAATGGCTATCGCAATGCGAAATGAAAATCGCAACGACAAATCGCAATGCGAAATGAAATCACAACGACAAAATCGCAACGCGAAATGAAATCGCAATGCGATTTGTGTTTCGCGTTGCGATTTTGTCGTTGCGATTTCATTTCGCGTTGCGAATTTGTCGTTGCGATTTTTATTTCGCATTGCGATAGCCATT